CAAATAAAAGTCGTCCTAACCTTTGTGCTTGAAGGTGTGGGTTTCGAGTAATCAGAAATTACCTATCGGGTAGATTTAGATGTGAGCGTTAATTGTGAAGTGTATCTTTCTTGCAGAGCGTTCTTCGTCTTCACAAACTCACGGGAGAAAGACTCATGACCTTTCCACTCGATATCGGCAGTATTGTGGGGTACTCTGGAAAGAAGAAAGATTCAGAGGTAAGCGGTGCCAACACTCCAATAGTTTATTTCATTTCCAATAGTTTATTTCACTGGTGAATCTTCTATTTATTTTAGAATTCTTAGAATGCTAACCGTTCCCCGGATAGCTCAACTGGTTAGAGCGCCGGATTGTGTCGAGCAGGGAGGTCGAGGGTTCGAGCCCCGGCCGGACCAATACTCATGGTCTGAAAATAACTGAGGAGAATTTGGTACCTTTCTATAACATCAATAAATAGTTAGATCTTCTAGTCTTCTGGGATAAGGATGAATAAACCTTAGGCCCCGTCTCCTGCCGGGTAAGGGGTAGGAGACGTTAATTTCCCACGCCCGAGATTACTGTGTGGTGGATATCCTCCCCTGGGGTGGGATGGTTGGATGTTGTCTTGCGTTTTATACATAAGCCTCTGGCTCGGGCAACTGGGTAACCATGCCTCACGTAAAGACGATAAACTTGATTTACTTGACTTGACTTGTTTTTTGATTTGTACTTAAATTTAAATACTCTATCTTAAGGCAAGTGTATAGGAGGTAAAGTCTGTAGAGGGGAATCCTTGTTTACAATATTTGCCTCATTAGCATAAGCAATTCAGTTTCTGATGGAGCTAAAAATAAATCAGTTCTGAATATCGAAAGGNAAACAAACGTGAAAGGCTTTGACTCGAGTCAGTACCAGACTGTCCAAGTGTTTTATCCCAGTAAAGATGGAACCAAGATCCCAATGTTCATTGTCCATAAGAAGGTGAGCACAATATTAATAAATATTTTTTTATTTTACGAGGATGGTTATAGCCAACTCGGCCCTAAGCAATAGTCCATTTTACAGTTGTGTGCTTGGTTGCCAAGCCTTTGAATGGGAGTGAGGTTAGAGATGACCTTGTTATGATACAAACCTTGCTACCTTTCAAATGTAAATCACTTTGTCATCGTGCTAAGTAGATACAGGTCTCTATCACAACTAGGTCATCTTTAGCCTCACTCTGAATCAAAGGCTGGGTAACTAAGTACACAACTGTAAAATGGCCTATTCGTTCGCTATTGACCATCTCATATCCAACGTACGCTCATGAAGTAATGGTTGATTATCTTATTTCTTTTAATTACGTAAAATCTCAGGGTATCGAGTTAGACGGAAGCCATCCTCTGTACTTGTATGGTTATGGAGGGTTTAACATATCAATCACGCCATCCTTCAGTGTGTCACGGATTGTATTTATGAGACATCTCGGAGGCATCATTGCCATACCCAACCTGAGAGGTGGAGGGTAAGTTACATGTACATCATCATCCCCAACCTCAGGGGTGGAGGGCGAGTTTTATGTTCATTGCCATACCCAGGGGGTGGAGGTTGAGTTATGTGTGCATTGACATACCTAACCTAAGGGGTGGAGGGTAAGTTACATGTACATTTCCATACCCAAGATGAGGGATGGGGTAAATATAATTTCGTTGCCATACCAAACTTGAAGGGTTGAATGTAAATCATGTACAGTGCTATACTCATCATCCTCAGGGATAGAAGGTTGGTTTTGTACCTCGCCATATATAAGGTTAGCAGGGGGGGGGCGTGGCGAAAGTTATAGGTACATTGCTTAGTTATAGGTACATTGCTTTATCCATCCTTAGGGGTGAAGGGTAAGTTAAAAGTTTATTGACTACATGTTCATCAAATTAAGATTATTATTGACCCTTTTTTTTTTTATGATAGTGAATATGGTGAGACTTGGCACCAAGCGGGCTGCTTTGGCAACAAACAGAATGTTTTTGACGACTTCCAATACGCCGCCATCTACCTCTCCCAGCAGAAATACACATCTCCAGAAAAGTATGTTCAATTCTCTGGGCATTTAGGAACAAAAACAAAAACAAAAACATTGGTTTTTGTCAAATGCATAATGAAGTTTTGTTTTTTCTTTTTCTTTTGTTGTTTATTATGTTTTGTTCTGTTTGTTTTATTTTATATTTGTTCTTTTTTTCTTCTTTTTATATATCTATTTATGAACTCATTTGTTTTTTCATTTGTTTATTCTTTGATAGAATAACCATCTGTGGTGGATCCAATGGTGGCCTGTTGGTGGGTGCTTGTATAAATCAGAGACCAGACTTGTTTGGTTGTGCTGTTTCACAAGTACCGTAAGTCATCAGAATTCCTTATGGATTTGTCTCATAATTTGAGCACGAACCAATTTAAATCCTTTCATCTCTTGTCACAGAGTTATGGACATGCTCAAGTTTCATAAATTTACCATCGGCCATGCATGGTAAGTGGTAATATGACTTAATCACTTATATTGTTTTATTTTGTTTGTTTTTTTCTTTTCCGTTTTGAAATTTTTCTGTAGGATTTATGTTCTCTAGTATATGATCGGGCTCATAAAGCAGCAACCTTTGAAAGCTTTCTTAAAAAAAATTGTTTTCCTACCTTTTTGTTGTTGACGTTCCTGTTGTTGTTTTTGTATTTGTTTTTTCTTTTTTTTCTTTTCTTTTTTTTATTATCTCTCTTGAAGGACGACAGACTATGGTTCACCTGATAAGGAGGAGGATTTTCAATGGCTTATCAAGTGAGTTATAAAGAATACTGCACTTGTTTTCCAGTGCTGAGTATTTTCCACAATTGTTCTTGGTGGTGTTCAAGCTCCTTCTAGTCCTTATTAACCGAGCGGGAGGTCTGTATGGGAGAATCGTGACCTAGGTCGCCAGTACAGACCGAATGCAGTGAGGTCTGTACCTGCGACCGAGGTAAAGATTCCCCCATACAGACCGACCTAGCTCTGTTAATAAGATGTTTATTATATGGCTGTGTCTTATATGCCAATTTTTTTTATATTCTTTGTACCCTTTTTTTCTAGACTGGCCTAGATGCCGGTCAAGATGGGGAAATCTGGACCGCTTTCAATATTGACTTCAGCCAATCAAATTCGTGAACTCGGTTGTTCCCAGTCCTTGTGAGACACAGCCATATAATAATTTTCCATAAAACTTAATCGCCCCAGGTTGCCAACTTCCTTGCCCCCCCCCCTCCCCCCCGCCTACAAAAATATGTTTTCCTCAATCTCGATTGGACAGCACTTTAACAACAACCTGAGTAGTTAATCCAAAAGGGAGTGCGCGACTCAGTCATGCGCAGTATGTTTATACGGTATGATAATCTGTGACCCATGAAAAGGGCCATAGTTGGTTATAGTAACTGATGTTTCGACAGTCAAGTTCTGATTGGTCAATTTTGTCTGTAATTTGTAAGTGGCTGTACCTCGCCTTCATATTCTTTATTGCTGTGTGTGATGTGTCCAGTACCAAACCGTACTCCAGTTCTTTCGAACTAAAAAAAACACTTTCTCGTTTTACTTTAAGACAAACATCTTTTTTTAGAAAGTTTAAAATCTAGCGCAAAGTGACGCAAACCAAAAAGATCTACTTCTCAGTATCTTACGTTAAAATTTGGCTGATTATTTTTAGCCGGTCAGCTCTGATAAAATGAAATAAAAGATCTGATCCGATTCACAGCCAAGGTCATTTTTACAGCCATGAATTGCAAATTACAGCTTTAGGGAGTCTTCAAGACTATCAAAACCAAGGAAAGAACGGGTGTTGTGAGTCTATTTTCCATCAATTCTGCATTGCACTGCATTATGATAAATCNGTATATAATCATTATTAACAATTGGTTCATGCGTTAGCGTACGTTCATCGAGACTTGAAGCGCGCGGGAAGTTTGGAGAGCACGAAAGATGCCTAAGAGTTGCTCGTTGCTTCTTAAGTGCTCTCCAAACTTCCCAAGTGCTTCAAGTCTCGATGAACGCACAGCTGACACATAAACCAATTGTTTCACTTTATAACATTTTCAACGCTGTAGTTTATGTATAAAGGGCAGAAATTCCCTCTCCTACGCTTCAATGAGTTGTTTATTTTGTTTCGTTTCGCTATGCTTCAATGATCTTGTCTCAGATTGGTCAAAAACTGACAGGTGAATTCATGCCTGGAAATTAATGGTTAGAGTTGCGAAACGATATGAAACCGTTGATTGTTTTGTTTTCCCTTTCTCTAGGTTCTTTCTCGGGAGTAAAGAAATCCATTCCCAAAGAAAAAGTAGGCAGATCTTCATCGGCTCGTTTGCTTGTTGTCATGTCTAATTTAACTTTTTTGCGGAAGTTTTTCCCGTTTTTTAATGAAAAATGCTGAAGTCACTCGCGAGAAAAAATTTTTTCACGAGACATTTGTTTGCTGACGTCATCAGCGTGCACAATGGAAAATTGAAGCACGCTCGCGCAGTTGAATTTGATTGCACGGATTTACAAGCTATGTTATAATTCGTGTTTACCCTCTTCGTATTAAGCATACAAAAATTCTTTGCAACTCTTCTAACCTTCACATAACGACGTAACCAGGAGGACTTCGGTATGCTTGGACGAATACGCTCATAAACAAATTCCTTCAGTTTTCTGCCCTTTCTTCTGAGACATTCCAGAGTAACAGAGTAAATACACGGTTGTGTTTACTTGTAAACATAATACGACACAGCTCGTTTCGCTCGATATTTCTCGATAGAAAGTTCACTCGTAAAGGATCGCTCGTAAATTGATCTCTCGTAAAGTTCGTAGACCAACCCGTTCCCAAAACGCTCTACAAGTTTTAGTGTGGGTTGCGCTTGATATTCCTCGATAGAAAGTTTACTCGTAAAGTATTGCTCGTAAATTCATCTCTCGTAAAGTTCGCGGACCGACCCGTTCCCAAAACGCTCCACAATTTTTTAGTGTGGGTCTACCGCGAACGGTGTGTGACTTTGTATATGTATTGAGCGTAATAGCCATCGAATTTCTTTAGCGTACATCAAGCAAGGAATTGTTCACGAAGGCAGCCATTGCTTTAATTAAACCATGCGCTTTGAGGTTCATTTTACGCATGCGCGTACACATCACGCATGCGCCGAAAAAAAATGAATAAAAATAAAATCAAGCCGAATTTATACCTCGGACGTTTCCTTCGGAAAGCCCGAGTAATAACTTGCGAATCGAGAACAAATATAAACAGGTTTATTTTGCATTATTTTATGGCTGTCTCACAAGGAGTGGGGACTACCGAATTCACGAATTTGATTGACTGAAATCAATATTGAAAGCGGTCTAGATTTTCCCATCTAGACCGGTCTAGAAAAAAAGTTACAAAGAATATAATGTTCCGTTGCTTTCTAGACACAGCCATATAATGAACATCTTATTAACCGAGGAT